TCGACTCGCCTCGCACCCTCGCCGCAGCAAGCAAGGTTTACGAGGTCTCCACAACAGGCAGGCTTCTTCAGCTGCCCCCCGCCGGTCCCTGTTCTGTGATGGCCCGACCAAGACTAAACAAGCCCATGCTCTGGATACACTAGGTCAAAGTAACAAACCTCAAGTTTCAAGCTCGGATGCCTGATGTGTTGGCAATCTAGAATGTGCTGTTTCGGTGAGAAAGGATCTCAAACCTTCTACGCCTGGGGGCCAAAGCCTCTAAACTAAATCTACAAAGGCAGTTTCCGGTTTCACTCGGAGAAGTCTACGACAAGTACGAAAGCCCCAGCCCCTAGTGTAAGTGTTCAACATCGCATCCAAAAGACTCAACAGGCAAAACAAGCCAGAAGACAAACCACGACAGCGAGCAGCCCAGCTATCCGCAACTGTCTTGGCAATTGCCTCCTTCGAAACTACACTTGTATGCAAAGGTCCCCGAGCATGTGTAGCACAGGCCAGCGAATCTGAATAACTAGACCGGGGCTTCCGGTGGCATTGTGGATAGTTGCCTGAAGGAAATTGTGGGGGACCTGCCTGGCCGGCTATACTATTTCCCTATAGGAGATTTGATTTGCGGGGTTCCTTATTAGAACCATGGTATACTATAGCCCCTACACCCTATCCTTGTTGTTAAGGCTCCTATAGTATAAAATAGCCCTAGAACCCAGTCCCCTTCCCCAAGCCTCAGAGATCCCAGCTCGGACCATGCGCCCGTGGCCAGCGCCGGCCAGGGAAGTGCGCGACGGAGAAGGGTTTCCTGGGATGACACCATCTACGTAAGTCGAAGCCTTCATTGCATTTAATATAGGGGCCTTAATGAGTAGAACAAGGTTTTGGGGCCCAAAAATCTATAGTTGCAATAAGGAGCCCCCAAAAGCCCCTATGGTAGGCTTTTGCAATGTCTCCATGTGCTCTATCCAGAAGCTCGACCCGAGTCCTATGACGGACGCGGCTACCGCACTCAAAGCGAGCTTTTGAAGTTAGACAGTACCTAGACCCCCCAACTACTCTCTACTATGCCCCAAATACCGACTATTAAGTGTCATCACTTGGAAGGGCAGGGGACTTAGTAAGTAGGTTATAAGTAGAGTTATAAGTACCCTAAATTATAGAGTTACCCCAATGATAACCCTACTTATAACCTACTTACTAAGTCCCCTGCCCTTCCAAGCAGGGCTCCATTAAAGGGCCATTGGGGGGTCCTGGTACAGCGTGACAGTGTGAGTAAGGATTCAGATCTTCTTTCCGTCGTTTATGCTGCCAGGTCGAGGTTCGGGCCGGATGGCATGAGTAATTAGAATAGGGGTCTTAATAATTAGGATCGGGTTTTGGGGCCCAGTATACTATAAGTATAGTAAGGAACCCCTCCGAAGTAATAAAGGTAATTATTTAGGGCCCTTTATTATGGAGATAGACTCGTTCCTGTTGCTGGGTTCATAGGACAAGCTGTGGCTCACCTCGAAAGTGCAACTCCGCACGCCCAAAAATCCTTAAGGGCTCCTTCAAAGGGGTCGTAGTTGCAGGGTCAATACGGGTTTGGGGACCACCATTGTCGCCAAGAGTCGTCCTCCCACAGCTCTGACATCGCCTTGTACTCTCAAAGTGATGTCTTCGGGGCAGAGGACCCTCCGACCTAAACATCAAACAAGTCTATAAGCACTGGGTGCAACTTTTGCCGGCGGCGATTCAGATTGGCGTGAACAGGAAAATAATACTGTTGTCACGTGAATACCGGACTTGGCATACCCAGACAAAGGTAAAAGAACGCATGGACTCCATGACACCACACGCACCCAGCTCCTGCCAATCAGGACAAGAGCACCTCTTCGAAGGTCTTCTGCACGAGGTCGTACCTTTCCAAACCAGCTGCAGGATGCAGGTATCGAGTCATGACAGGCGATTTCGGGTCTTTTTTAGAGATTCGGGTCTCAGTGCTTCTGACTTCGATTCTGAGCTTCGGCCCTTGACAAGTTCAGACTCCTCGTAAGACCAGTATAGCTGAACAACCTTTCAATAGCTTAAACGAAGCAGTGAAGAGTCGGATGTAGCCGACACTAACCCCTTCAACCCCAAACTCCAAACACGAAAAAAACGGAATTCACAAGGACATCGGGAAGATGTCGACCAGGTACAGAGACTGCCGCTGGAAAGCGGAGACGGTGAGGTGCACCGAGGCCTCTGTGGAGTCCTGCAGCTCGACTTTTCACTCGTGACAACTTCTAGTGCTCTTTGGAGGATCGGGGACTTTGTTCGTACGGTTATAAGTACCCTCATTATTTGTATAGTTACCTTATTTATAAGCCTAGTTACCAAGTCCCATGATCCTTTAAGTTGTGGTTGGCGGTTGAAGGACACATGTGTGCAAACTGCCGCGCGAGCCGGCACATGCCCGGCAGCACGTGCTTTGGCTAGCAAGCGGAAACACACGAGGGATTTGCAATCAAACCCTGCCTGGACTGAAACATACACACATCGGCGTCCACACTTGCATGGGCATGTTCGCTTGTGGCTACGTTCGCTCTCTCGCACACACACACACACACTACATATCAGGCACACATGCAGGTGAGCAGGAGCATTGCCCGAGAAAGACACATGGACGGGCTTACACACGTACACATCTGCACACAGTCGTCGTTGTCAAGCCTTATGTTCTGCTAGGCGGTGCTGCGAACCCTTCCCCGGCAGCCTTGTTGGGGGCATAGTGGATGGTCCCCCGTGGGAAGTACAACCTTTTGCAGCGCTGCTTTCTATTGAGCTCGGCTATTCAGGATCCCTTGACCAGAACTCATGTGGGTGGTTGTCAATATTAGGGTCCCTTTTGGGGTCCTTATTATAATACGGCACCTAATATCTAGGGTACCCAAAAAGGGGCCATAATTTTGACAACCACCCATATGCTTCGGCGAGTTCGTGAGCAAGAGGCCCATGTGAGAAGAACGCAACCGGTCCCATGTTGCACTGGGTCCCGGGTCGTGGTTGTTTGAAGCACAGGGTACATGCATTTAGATGCACATGGAGCCTAGGAACAAGTGTCTACAGTGTCTGAGACCAAGGATTTCAACGTACCACAGAGCCGAGGACTCAGATGGACCAGCGAAAATGCTGTGCCCTGTATCTGTGTTGCTCCACCTTATGCGTTTCTTTTGAATCCCCGTGAACTCAAAAACCAAACCGGCCATGTCCACGATATGACTGACTCAAGCATAAACACACGGTCACTACAACCTGCCTCTTACCCGTCGGTATATGAACAGATCCAACCCATACAAGAGATTACAGGAGGTCCGTCAGAACTTGAAGAAAAGGAAATGAGGATCTAGTAATGCGGGACCCTATAAACCTCAAACCCTATAGTGAGATTGGAACGTCCACGTTGACTTCCGAGGTTCTCGGCTTGAGTTACACCGGTCTGAAGACCAGGGCGTTCATGTTTCCGACCAGCTGAAGGCTGCCACAAATACTCCTTCGGGAGTTTGTAAAGCTGGGGGGGGGACTGTAACTAGCGGAACTAGCATCTTCCAATTTGGGGTTCTATTTCTTGTTTTTTGGCGCCGAAGCGGCAAATCGCCGGCCGACAATTTCGGAGAAAGCAGCGGTGGTGACAAGGACCTGGGCTGCAAGATCCATGGAAACTATCCGAATCTGAGGTTGAAACATGATTAGGGCCGCGGAGAGCAACATAGATCGTTGCCCTTGTGGTTCATAGCTGGAAGGCAGCCGGACGTGGAGTTCGTGGTTGGGCAGTTTATAATATAGAATTAGAACAGGGTTTGGGATCCATTAGACTATAATCATACTAAGGAGCCCCCAAAATAGTATTGGTAGTTGTTTAAGCCCCCATAGTGGCTGATCACGTCGTTGCAAACTAAGAAACCATTTGCTATGGAATCGGCAGATGAGCTACGGCCTCGTAACAACGAATCAAAACCCCAAGCTCACACCTAGCCAGCACAGACTCAGAAGTGGCTACCGGCTAATGTAGGAACCTGATTAAGAAACCTTGAGCCTTTATTAGCCTTTATTCGGGTTCCTTATATGAATCCTGCTATTTTGGGGTTATAGGCCCAGGGATTCTTAATCAAGTTCTGACATTAACCGACTACACCAAAGTAATATAGGGGCGCTGATTATTAGAATAGGGTTGTGGGGCCCATTATACTCGGATTACAATAGGGAACCCCCAAGCTAGTATTGGTAATTGTTTAGGCCCCTATAGTAACATCAGGAACCCTCTCTCTCTCTCTCTCTCTTCCCTCCCTCTGTCGGTTGCTCTCTCGATCCCGAACGAAACAAGCGCCGGCGACCGAACCCTAAGTCACAGCTGCTGCAAGCCCAAGTTGCGCCAGGTCGATGTCGCCGCTGCTGAACCCTCAGACATGCGATTGCGAGACTTTCCGCAAGCGCCTTTAGAATCGCAATGAACGAACTAACTATGTCCAAAAACCACTTGGCGTCTGATTGCAGAAGAGAATGATACCAAAGTCCTACGAGCACTAAAGCTTTGCTGGATCAGGGTTTCGACTTGCACGGTGGACGGAACATCCGACTGAGCTTTTCTAACGTATGGCTTTGGGGCCTTCAATTCTTGGGAATACAAGCAATGGAGCTTGTTTCCAAGGAGGCTCGGCCCAAACTTGTAAATTTCTTGGTTTTGGGAGATAAGCAGAGCGTGCATGTATCTCAAAAGCATAGCTGCGGATGATATCACTGATCTCACTTACTTCTTCACAGACTTTTGCGAATCTCACAGTGCCCAGGCTCCCTTTCCAACCTCCAACTGCAGGCCTTCAAACATGAGAACTTTGGTGCCGTGGCTTCCAGATTCCTCCGCTGAATCCGAAACTGTTAAACTCTTCTCCGAAGAGGTTTGCCGCCCTCCCAACGGTGCAGGTGGCGGTGTGTCCGCCGTCATCCCCTAAACCACTGACCGTGAATATCAGTGACTACATCATTCAAGTTCAGAATGACTGTGCCTTCGCCATGTAACGTGGGAGTGTCGGGGAGGGTGTTGTGCTGGAAGAGGCGTGGAGTGTCCAGGCCTTCTTTCCACCCAACCTGGAGTCTCAACATGGCATTCACGTCGTCGCTCATCACTGACGTGGAAAGTGCTACAGTCAAGGAAAGCGTCCCAAGCCCACAGCTCTTCATGCAGGGAAATCGAGACGTATAGAGGGATGGGGAGTCTGTCGAGAGCGCACATGGCCATGCACTCTTGAGAGGCGCTTCCTTTCCACCCTGATGCGCAGTCTCAGACAGCAAAGGCAACAAGACAAACCACAAAATCAAACCAGCAAATCATCCGAGCAGCTGAAGGACGAAGACCTCCACATCATCCCAATGAGGAGCTAAGCCTTCAAGGCAGGAGCGGGCTAAAGTTCAATTCATCATTGTTTAGGCTGATGCGGTTGTGTCCGTAGCAGTACTTTTACTGACACTGTTGCGACCAACATAAGAACTATGCGACTGCTAGTCGCGAACCCTTGCCAGACGGTACAGGACAGCATCATCTTCCGTTCGACGTGTGCAGACGGGTTCGCGACAATAAGTTGCTTATGAAGGGTCGGTACTAATTAGAACGGAGTTTGGGTGTATACCGTATACGATAGTACAAGTATATACGCACCCATCCAGGGGATGATCTTGCAAATCATCATATCCAGGACACACTTGTTTTTTCATGGGGACGGCTCCCACCTTGCGTGCCAGGTGGTGTGAGGTACGCATTGACCCCGACGAGGCAGCCAAACTCGGTCTCCAAAGCGACTACCAGCGAGGCCAGGGCATCGTGCTCCTCCGTGCAAAGCAACATCGAGACAAACTACTTCGCCGGAACAAGGTCGGGGTCAAGCTTTCCATATTCTTACTACTATAGCATGTATAGGCATTCTGCCGTGGATTATGCAGATACCGGTGTTCCGTATTACATCACGCTGCAAATGTTATCCATTGAATCCAGCCTCACAGCTTCCGACCGCTGTGTATGGTGAGGATTTTTAGCACCTTAAACCTCTGAACAGCAAGCCCCAAGAACCCCTTCACCTAAAAAACAAGATCCTAGCGAACTCAAAACTCAACACCACGAAGGCCCTGGGCCCCTAAAACACCCCCAACATCCAGTAACATGGAATACATAATGAAGAATATGTTATGTACTAGTAATTACAATAATGACAACATTAATTTGGAATATTAACCGTAATAACACCAGAAATAACAATAGCAGTTATATATATATATATATATATATATATACATGTATGTAAGCCTGCGGATCTCGTTTCAGTCTCCTGCTGTGGTTGCAGCCACTGGATGCTCCAGCCTCAAGGCACCAAGAAAGGATTTTGGGTTTTAAGCTCGAGGTCAGCATGAAACTGGAGTCCTCCTAATACTACCCCTTACAATATGACTATAATAGTCAGTTTAAACCTGAAACCTCGAATTTCAACCAAACACTGCACACCCTGGCGGCTCGCGAGTATCTCGACTCGACAGGGGCCCGTGAAACCCTGAACCATCATTGATAGCCCCAACATCTCTAGTTCAAGCGTTTAAGGTCCTGACACCCTAAGCCCTTCAACCCTTCAAGACCCTAAACCCCTTGAACAAAAACGGAAACCTTGGAGTAGCTCATTGGCGCCTTCTGCAAAGAGTCGCCGCACATCCGCAGCCGAGGTCGGCGGTGGGTTCGGAGTCTCCTCTATCAAATCACATGAACTGTTTACAGGTATGCTATTTATCGGGATCCTGTCTTTCGGGCTCCATAATTTTTCAGGACCCTATACTTTCTGGTAAAAATCCCACAGGGATTGTAGCGTTTAGCCTGTCTGGTATATTTCTTTGCTGGAGGTTCACAACTCGGCACAGAGGCTGCAGGTTGTGAGCCTGAGCTCTGTCGCAGATGGGGTCAAACAACCTTCCGCTGTGCCTTTTACTAGCACAATTCCCACCCTACTATCCCTTTTTTGCAACAGGGTTGGACCCTGGAAGCCCTTCACAGCACGGAGCCCTAAACCCTAAACCCATCAGGGCCCAACCCGAGCCCCGTGAAAGCCATAGGAGCTTACTTGGGGCCCTGTCTGACATGACGAAGAGCCGTGGGATCTTCCATCGGAGCCTTCCCATACCCTAGGGCTCTAATGACTCACATGTTAAGGCTTTTCATTTTGGGCCTAAAGGCCATATTATCTAAAGCTTTTGGGCAATTTTGAGCCTTAGGGATGAAGAACTCGAAGCCTTTATCCGGCTCGAAAGTGTGGGTGGTGTCAGGCTGCGGGATAATAAGGGGTACCTGGATCCCCGAAGTAGTTATGTAGAATAATGGCCTTTATACGCGCTGGGCCAATGCTTCTATCTACCGTTTGGGTGTTAGGTTACTTGGTAAAGCTGCGGGCAGCGCACTGCAACGCCGGCTCAATCTGGCTTAGTCCTTGTTGCTGCCGTCTTTGCAACGAAACATGTTGACTCGGTACACGGGCACGGCACCCTCCTCCATGAGCTTGAAGAGCCTGCACCGAGGGCCACTTGGAATTCCGAAGATAGTGACATATCAAACTATGGAGGCTACAGGGTTCGTAACTCTATAATTAAGGCACCTTCCCTGAGTACATGGCGATGAACTGCTTGGGTACCACATACTTAGCTATGAGCTCTACGACCTACGACTTCATGCTAAAGCGGTGAGCCGCACCTGAAACGCGTCCCTCAACCCCAAACCACGACCGTCGCACAACCTGGACGGAGTCACCCTGCCTTTCGGGAGTCGACACACCGTCGAGTTGCGCATAGTATTTGTTGCTCCTGGGCTAATTCTCACAAGCGGTGTCTGCTTGAGAAGGAGTTTCATTTGTCAAAGGCTGCAGGGCTTCACAGCAATGCGGGTTCACTGAAGACACGCGCGTGACAGGTGGCTCGCTAGGACCGTCGTGCTGAGCTGCCACAGTTGGCGCGACGACACAACGGGACGTTTGCGGAATGAGGGGCCGTTTAGCTGGTGTGATTCGATACCACAGAGACATTATGACCTGAGCGTCTCGGTCGACCATGCAAGCATTTGCCAAGAGATGGAGGAGCACTGTGAGAGCAACAAGCATAGAGCGGCAATTCCACAGCTTTTGTGCGATGTGCACGGCTATAGATTTTATGCGTCGCAAGGAAGCGAGCCGGAACCAAAAGATCAACATCTTCTGCACTCTGGATGTGCAGTCTTCCTGGAGCACCAGGCTGTACAGTGGCCTCAACCTTAGAAAAGCTGCAAGTGCTCTTTACAACTGTACACTGCACTGTTCAAGGCTCCCGAGACAAAACCGGGTCTATATAGCAAGAGCAAATGTTCTCAAGCCCCGAGGAACTCAAAGCCCTTCTTGCGCTCATTGTAGACAGGCGTAGGGATGTTCACGTATCGGGCCTTGAGTTGCAAGGCCAGGAAGAGGGAGTAGATGCGATTTTGCAGAAGATTGCCGCCGTGCAGCCAAAGACCCTCCACGTTGGTTCGTTTCCACATGTTCCGCAGCTCTCCCTCCCAAGGTCCTTCATCTCCAGAGATGCCAGTACCCAAGCCCCAGATCCTGCCAAGGCGTGCAGCCGCATCTTTCCCCAAAAGTTCTGCGATGAGCTTCGACAGCGGCGCATAGCCCGTGGCAAAGACTACAGTGTCGGCGTTGAGATGGGTCCCATCGTTGGTGACCACCGCAGATTCGCTAAAGGCTACGGCACTGCCAGTCCTGACCTTGATCATGCCATCCGCAATGAGCTCTGAAGCACCGACGTCCAAGTAAGTTCCCGACCCCGTCGACAAATAGTTCGAGGTGTTCGTGGAAGTTGAATCCAAGAGAAAGCCCATCTTCTCCAGTCGCTGCAGCAGATCAGCATCTTGCTCCCTGAGCTCGACGGCGGCTCTGCGCTGTTTCTCCAAGAGAAGCCGATAAGGCGTTGACATAAACTCCAAGTCAGCAGCCTCCGTACTCATCCCAGCGGCTCTGGCTTCTTCTGAGTAGAGCCGTTGCAGGCAAATCCGCTGATGGGTGCTGACCTTGGCGATTGGTGTGGGGCTACGCTGAATCATGGTCACATCTGCACCGTGCTCCCATAAGTCCTGGCAGATGTCATGGGCCGAAGTGCCGGATCCCACGACAACGACCTTCTTGCCTTCTTGGGATGCACCTGAGACATACTGCGAGGAGTGCATGGTAACTCCCGCAAATGTCTCCTGATTCTGGAGTTTCGGGGTGTAGGCAGTGCCATTCAGGCCTGTTGCGATCACCAGGTGTCGAGGCTGTAGCCGCAAACGCGTGCCGTCCTTCTCAACATGCACGGTCCAGCTGCTCTTCACCTCGTCCCACTCCGCTTTCACGCAGCGGGAGCGGGTCCAGACATCAACATTCATCAAGCTGGCATAAATGTCAATCCAATCCGCCATCTGGTCCTTTGTGAGGTACTTCGGCCAATGATCTGGGAAGGGCAGGTAAGGGAACTCACAGTAGGAGACTTGGAAATGCAGGCGCAAGGAGTCGTAGCGTTTGCGCCAAGCATCCCCTGGTCGTTCGTTCTGCTCAAGGACAAGGCAGGGCACTCCAAGCTGCTTCAGCCGGGCCCCCAAAGTCACCCCACATTGACTGCCCCCGACGATCACTACAAAGGGCTCTGGCTCTGCGCATGCTGGCTGCAATGCACCTCGCCGCATGGCCTTCGGATGGCCACCCAGATCCCTCGAGAGTCCCCGCTTTTCTTCGTGCCCACGGAGTGCTTGGGCAGCGGTCAGCAATGTCCAGCACAGGCCCTTTCGAAGCTTCACCTGCCCGATGCAGCTGGCGAAGGCCGTCTGGAACGCGAACTGAGCGGTGACGATCCCATCTGCTTCGGTCGCTCCTGACAGGACCAAACTGTGTGGCTTCACACGGTCCAGAACGGATGACACCATCTCGAGGATCGGTATCTTGCCTTCAATCGTCTGGATGTCCCAAGTGAACGACAGCAGATCTCGCCATGCGCAACTCTCAGCAAAAAGCTCTGAGAGCCCTTCGTAGTCGCGGGTTTCTAAGGCCAGGGAGAAACTTCTCAGCCAGGAGCATGCGATGTCCTGGTCGGCCATGGTGCTTCAGATCAAGCGGGATAAGACAGAGCTGGAGTCTCTTGGACCAAACGACATCGGATCGACAGCTTCCGTTCTACCGAGCAACATGGAAGAGCCCTGGACCATCCAAGACAGGTCCCCAGCTGCAACATCCCAGTCTCCCTGAAACCGGAGCTCCCTAAACCCTGGACCCTAAACCCTAAAACATCCTTAAACCTTTTTGCATCCAGGCCTATTGCGATCCTAAAACCCAAACCCTCAACGTGGGAATATTTCTATGGCAGAGGCTCCCAGCGCGCTGAATGTGCAGCGGTCTCTGCTCGAAGAAGCTTTGCCGAAACTCCTCGACCCCAATGGCATTGCCCAGAAGAGAAGACAAACCTTGGCAGTTACTCCATGCCTGGCATGTCATCATGAGTATGGCATCAACATAACCACAACCTACATAAGCACCAACATCATTGTCTGTAGTTTCACCGTCGAAACCATCACGACCAGCATGAACAGCAACACCACATGATCATCATGATGATGATATATGATTGGCATGATCATCATCCGCACGAGCATGGACATGGTCTTTACCCTCGGCACGACCCATCTGTGTCATTGCCATCATGACCATGACCATCATGATGGCCATCATCATGGTTATCATCATCATGATCATCATCATCATAAACATCGTCATCACCGCTATCATCTGCTATCATCATCAAAACCATCACCATCATCATCACTAGCCTCAGCAACACACCTCGTCCCTGTTATCCTCCTCCTCACCACTACCCTCACCATTCTCGAAATGGTCGCTTACCAGACGTCCACTCGCTGCCGAGTACGTACGCACGATCAGCACAGTTCGAGGCAGATGGCTTGCACTAGACATCCGAGGGGTTGAATTGGGCGAATTCAGATGCACGTTCTTTTTGTCTAGGGCTAAGGCTAAGGTTTACATATCCTGAGACCGACAAAGCAAATCACCACTCTCTCCGCCCCGAGAAAGTCAAATCTCAACATGAGCCAAGAGTCCCCCATCGAAACTCGTGTGCGACTTGCTGCATGTCCTGGCCATCTGCGGACTGTGCTCTTGCGATGCTTCCATGACAGTTCCCCATAGACGCCTGACTACATCCTGTAACTCCTTACAACGTCTGCGACCGTAGGACTGATTCTGCCCTCTGGAACTTGCCACTGGGTGTTGCAGTACATCGGGCCGCAACTGCGCGTCAAGATTCAAGGCTGCTTGGGGCCTTCCGACTTGGGAGTAGATGTCAAAAGCTTCATCCGGCATGGAATGAAGCGCACCGCTATGGCCCCCAACCGCAATTAAGCGTACATCCAAAGTCAAGAAGCCCAAAACAGTCGAGAGGCCGGGTGCCATCGGCGGGTGCCGGATTGCTTCGCTGTCGACACTTCTTCCGCTTTCCGGCCATGGCTTTAACTTCCAAGGGTTGCTATAGACACCTGAAGAGTTTCATTAGTTTGTCATAGAAATACAGGGACTATAGAATGGGGATACTAGCTCAGTAGCTATGCAGGCCATGAAGGCCCCTATATCAAGGTCTGCACCTGTTGTCTTTAGGGCCAACTCGCGCTAAGAGTGAACAGGGGTTCAGGGATGCGCCTGTTGCTGATTCAGGTGGTTGTGGTGTTTGCAGCTGCTGTGGCAGTAGTAAAGACAAAGCTTGCTTCGTTGTGGTTATAGATCTACAGTACGGCTCGACAACCACCACCACCATCACCGAAATGCTGCGTACTTGGTTGGAAGCCACGTTCACATTTGGTGGTCTTGGTAGCAGTGCTTCATCATGTGACAAACACTGCCACAACCCCAATACTGATTCTAGTAACCGGCTCATTCATGTCATCTGCTGAAAGCCCAACGGCTCAGAACGGGGTTTAAGAGACACGGGTTACGTGGTGCTGCTACCGCTCTTAACCTCCTAGTGCACCGGCCCGAACATGAGAACATGAAACTGCAATCCCGAAGAATTTACCTACTTGACCAGAAATAGTACCATGTCATGCTGGGGCTCTTGCAACAGTGCGCGAAGCTCGGCTATCTGAGCAACGTGAGGCTGGTGACGAGGGACAGTAGGCGAGAAGCTTACGCAATTCGATACGCAGGAATGCAAGTTCCTCGTCCAGCGGGACAATATACACTGCGTCGACTGCATCGGAGTCAGGCAGCGTACAATGGTAGAAAGAGGAGCAATGATCGGCTGTCGGTCCTCGAGGGTGATGCTTGTGGTAGTGGTGGTGGCGGTGATGTTATGGTGATAATGGTGCTGTTGGAATGGGCTCTTGCGCTGCACGACTCATGCTACTGAGCTACTCGCCATGCCATGAACTGCCCAGGGAATGGCGAGGATTTGGAGGTGCCTTCCTCTTTTACGTCTTTTCTACCAGCTCAAACCGAAAGCAGGATTGGTAAGCCCTATACATGCGTGATGCATGAAGTAGTGGCATGAGCTCGAAGCTGAGGCGCGTGCCGAAATGTTTCCAGAACCGTCCTCCAAGCAAGCAGCATCAATTAGCAAGAAGAGCAATCCGCGTCCCGTGCAATTCGGATGCTGCAAGCGAGTCGTGACAGCATGGCCAGTTTCCGGACTTATGAAGCTCGTCATATAAACGATCAAACTACTTGTTGTAAGGCTCGTTGAATCTGAAGGGGGTGCCCTAGAACAGACGCCGTGCACCTCAAACCTAGTCAACTACGACATTTTCTGTAGGTGGAACCTGGTCGTACTTTTTGAAGATCCGCTCTTGTTCAGCTCGTTCAAACTCCTTAGTCCCAAGCAGCCTCCCTCTGGCACATGCTCAACTAAAGTTGACAGCCGACACGCAAAGACAAGGATGGACCCATCATGACCTGACCCAAGCACCGCAAGAAAATAGCTTCTCCTCATCAGTGGGAGCTCACAACGCATGAAACCAGCATGCAGTCAGTCTGGTTGGGCTCACGAGATCACTCCTTGGATTGAGAACTCGACTCAGCATCGCCTGGGTGCCTTGCATCATAGTGAGTCATGAACTGGAGGAACTCGTCGAAGTCCATGTAGTCGTACATCGTGATCTGGTGCAGAAGACTTCCCGAAACTGTGTAGCAAGTAGCGGTCTAGTTTTTATCGCCAGAACTCACGGAAGGAAAACAGTTATGGCCTGAGATTGATGTTCACACGGCACAAGGTTGCGTTTGGGGAAGCTGCTCTTGACTGCTTTGGGAGATGCTGGCAGGTGGCGCCAACCGACCTACTAGTTGAAACTGCGCAGCTCCTCAAGATTGCGACGCAGGTTCCAGCAGGTTTCAGCCAACAGTGTGCATTGGGCCGGGCAGCCTTCCTTGCCATGTCGGTGATCGCTTCCTGCACCGGCCGGCTGATAACTAACGGAACCTACCGCTGGTCGAGAGCACAACCTTACAAGGCAAAGCTGAAGTGATGGTCATCTCCGGAACCGAAAAACGAAACAGGGACCAACCCGTTACAACGACCAAGGCTCAGCCACTGTGCCTCAAGCACGAGCCGGTGGATGTCGGGTGCAAGTCTTCGTTGCAGTGAGGCTTTAGGGCAGGGGCATGCACTCGTGTCCTTCATGCTGAAACGAGTCCACATTCTCTTCTTACGCAAGCAACAACAGAGACAGCAACGCGGTACAACGTTGTCAGCTTGCTTCTGCATCGCCTCGGGTGGAACCCAGCGGCCGATGAAGTTCAGCAGCGCGTCCAGATCATCCTCCGCAGTATGAAGCTGAACTTAGGCATGTTTGAGGGCGAGCTAGTCTCACACCGACAGCTTCCAGGATCTGGGAGGGGCAAGTGACGGAGAGAGTGGCGGACCAGCCTTGTGGATGTCTGCGGATGCGGGCACCTGCTAGGTCTTGATCTGGACGAAGGATTGCTAGAGTGGGGAAGCTGCAATTCGGCACTTTGGAGTGCTACATAGTAGACAACAGCATTGCCTGCAAACTCTGTAAAGTTTGGAACCAAGCCACAAGGTTCCCACAACAAACCATTACGAGATCCAGTCAAAGCTGTGAACAGACGATCCCATCCGGAGCTACCGGCCACGACAGCGACTGGAACATGCAGTTCTGGCTGTGAATTCGGCTGCAACCGCAAGCCAAGATAGCTCCTGCGGATTCCGCCCCTTGCCTTGAACCGGAGGAAGGAGGCATGAAGGTCTTCTTTCTGCGCAGGGGCGCTTGCTAAGTTGAGGGGTGCTTCAGAGTCTTCCTAGCAGAGCAACTCGTGTACAGACTGCTCAGGTGAAGGAGGCTCCTACAAGCTGACACAGCTCCAGATCGATGCAGGCGCAATGGACAGAAATATTTTGCCAGGTTGAGCCGACACATTTGCCTCTTACATCTCACAAAAGTGAGCGAGGCACCTCTGCTTCGTCAAACCCATTGGACTCTCCACGAACTCGTGCGAGCGTCCGCTTTAACCTGGAGCGAAGAAACAGATCCCACAATTTGCAGATACAAAGTCTGTCATCGTGCTCATTGCTCATACTCGATATTGACCTTCGTATCTGGTCGCTAGTGTTCATATTCGCCGTCGTCGTCGTCGTCGTCGTCGCAGTCCGAAAGCATGATCATGCCACGGTGTCTCTCCTGGTCCTTCCTGATTTTAGTCTTCACCGAGTCTTCACCAAGGAAGCTTCAAACGAGCTGCCGTAGGTTGCAAATTGCTTGAATATGCACTGAGGCTTGTGCATCAGCGCAATGCGCGGGTCCTGCAAACAGGCAGGAATTCAGTGCGCGCGGTGCTGCAGGGTACGATGATGGGTGATTGATTCCCCTGTGATGAACAGCACAAGGAGCACGACAGCTGCACAGGAAAGTTTGCAACTTAACTATGACCTGGAGCTCCGATTCTATTCTTTCAAGCAAGAAACATTCTGTGCCCTTCCCCTCTTGTGTCATCGAGTCGAAGGGAGTGTGGGTGGTGACGATCCGCAAAGTCAGCGTCTACGGATTATTTTTCTCAGATAAGTGACGCCGATGGTTTTCTGAATGAACGAAGCAGCACGGGGCCTGAGCTTCAATACGCAGGCTTGGGCTCGGACGTGTTGCAACACAAGTGTGAGGACACAAGGACTCCTTCAAGAGTTGTAAGTTCCACAGAAGGATACTTTGCTTTAAATTTCCATGGGGAGGATTGAGAACATTATCGTAGTAATCATAGGAATAGCACGTAGATCTATGTACTATGCTATACTATACAAAGATGGTGGTAGTCGCAACAACCGCAGCAGCAGAAGTACCAAAGGCCACCATCATCGTCACCCCAATGTTCTCTCCGAGGCACCTGACCGTCGAGGACCTGGGCGTCTTGCGCCATCACGGCAGCCAGCGCGGCCTGACACCAAACACTGCCCCAGGGTTTACAGTAAGGGCCTTAATACTTAGAATAAGGTTCCTTTAAAGGGTTCCTTTAACGGGGTATCAGGGATCTATGGTAGGGTTCTATGATATAGGGGCCTTCATAATTAGAATAGGATTTTGGGGTATGTTACACTATAATCATAATAAGGAACCCCCAAGTAGTGGAGGTAAGTAATACTATAGAGTTTGGTGGCTTGAGGCCTTGTAGGGCCTTGGGTTGCCCAAACAGGCAAACCTCCTGAAATGTCAAAGCGTTCGCATATAACTGGATCCTCAACTGGGGCTTTTGGAGCCTTGTGTGGCCATCGTTGTGTGCTTGGAAACCGGTGCTTGGAGGCTTAAGAGGCTCTTCTGTTGCATTTGAGGCGCGGAGTGGCGGAGTCTGTTCATGCAAAACTTGCAACTTGTGCACAGTCCTGCGGACAACTGCTGGCCTCGTCTTCTTTTGTGTCTTCACCTTGGTGGCATTAGCCAGCATTTCCAATCCACGGTTCTTCGGCATCACGACGAGAGAATCTGTGAGATGTTATGAGCAGCTGTCAGACGATTCGATCGAAAAACGATAAGCCTCGACTCCTATCCGGATAGCCCGGAACAGCGCACGGACCGCACCACTTGGGCAGCCACCGTCCGTTCCGGATCCTGGCAAAGATGGCCCACTAGGGCTTCGAAGGTAGTAGGGATGATTCTGCTCATCGAGTCGGTGCTCTCACCCCTTCCCTGTCTCACCCTCCTCTCTTCCTTCTCCGGTACTCTCGCACAGCGGGGCCTTCCATCTCCTGATGGATCAAGGCAAGCACGCCAACCTCAGCCACGCGAGAAATCCAAACATTACCTGGGCCCTCAGGAACCTACCTTTTTAGGGCTCCCTAATATGAATTCTTCGTATATGTCCTTAAAAAGGTAGGTTATTTGGGGTTAAGATACTGTGAGCAAACCGGGCCCACAACAGAAGAGCCAAGTTGTCAAAATTAGACTACTCTCATCATGGGCTCTGATTCGGGAGATACGTAGCTACCGAGCATGTCACCGTGGCAATCGGAAT